TTTGAATAAGTAATCTTCCTAGCTAGGATCTAGGTCCCATATTGTCCCAAATCGAATTCTGCATTGCAACAGTTATGTGGGCACTTCCACCTATAAATTATGAACTCACTCTTACCCTAGGAGTTAGGAAGAAAATTTACTTTTCAAAATTCACCAAGCAAATCTAAAAGCCCCAGAGGCATGTTGGCAAGGAGGGCTCTAAGTACAGGATCAAGAGTTGGAGAAAGAGACTAAAGGGCAGGTCAGTACATACTACCAACCCATCACAGATCCATCCACCAAACCACTAAATGGAACAATGGACTACTAAACAGAAACTAAGGTTATATATTCAGAAGTGCCTTCTTCATAGATGCCTGACCCATATTTTCCTGTTTTCAATTAACTTTCTGATCTCTCAAGGTCAGGAGAGTTACAAGGCTTTTAACAAAATAAGAAATCAGTCATTCTGAAATCTCTGGTCAAGTGACTATTTATGTTCTTATCCTACTGTTACCCCTTAACATGTTACATCATACTTAGAAAAAGGCAAGGTTTCAAAAAAACACACAAAATTTTCAAAGAGGAACAAAAAACTGTATTCCACCAAAAAGTGATAAAAATTTAGCAAATAGAATAATCTTATGTGTGAAGTTTTCAAGGAAGAACAAAAAACTATTCAACTAAAAAATGATAAAAATTTAGCAAACAGAATGATCTTATGCGTGGAATGAAAAAATAGCTTTAAAATTTTGAAAATCAATTATTTGAGGCAAGCTAAAATGATTATCTAACATTTCAAACTACTAACGGAATTTAAATACCTCGCTTTATGATACCAAACTGGCTCCACAGCTCCTTTCAAAAATTGCCTAAGAATTCTTGATACAATGTTTTGGTATAATATTAACTTGCATTCATATATTCACAACTCTTAGTCAACATCAAAAAAAGATGCTAAACTACAGAAACTAACTTTATATTGTAGAAACAAATTCAAAGTGGTTAAATATAAATGAGGAAGATGAATGAACTAGATTACAAACCCTACTGGAGCCATCAACACCAAACCACCACTCCAGTTCAGGCTTGGGAGAAAAAAACGTTGGTAGAAAAACTAAGAAACTTTGACTTCGCTCGGCTTCTCTTACAAAACTAACAAGGAATCCCATCATAACATCTCTGATTAAACAGTTTCTTTAAAAAAAAAATTGTTAAGATTCCTATCCCTAAAAAATTCTGCAAAAAATTATCACCTGTATCAACTATGATTGTGTCACAAAGTACTGAGGATTTCTAACCACTGTCACAATGTAAAAGCTTAAAAACAGATCCCTTGTGTTAAATATTAGTCTTTATCAGTCTATTCATAAAGCTTACTTCCACTACAATTAAGTGGCTTTGAAGATCTGGCAACAGTAAATAAAAGGAGTTGGATAATTAGGTATACTGATACTATATTAATATCAACGATGCCTCCTGGCTTCTTTTAAGTCCCATCTAAAATCCTACTTTCTATAGGAGGGCTTTCCATATCTCTCTTTCCTAGTTAGTCTGTAGAGCTTGTTTGTATGTATTTATTTGCATGTTGTCTCTCCCATCAGATTATAAGCTCAAGGTCAGGAGTTATCTTTGGCCTTTCTTTGTGTCTTTAGCCTGTTAACACAGTGTCTAAGCAAAATTGTTGTTTGTCCTTCCATTTTCAAAGAGGACCAATGACATCACGAGTGTTATGCCTCCCACTCGAACTGGATAAGTGAGGCAGAGTCGAACAAAGTCATCGGCCTCACACTCTCTATAGAGTCATAAAGTCCAGTGGCAGGACAAAAGTCAATCACCTGGGATGCAGTGGGTGACCTTGGCATCTTTGATACCTGCCCAAGCTCTAAGCTCTCTGTAGCACCTGCTTCAGTCACTTTCATGGCCCTTGGAACAAATTGTTCTCATCCACCCATTCTGCCCAGGGAAGTCTTCACATGCTTGCGGTAGATATCCCCCCAACTCACTGACAGGTTTGTGGATTACCCTCAACCTGGTTCAGCCCAATGGTTCTACTGGGGTGTGACCACTGTGCATGCTACAGTTTCTTGGAGCCACAGGTAAGAGTCGAGTGATTTTGATGGACACCAAAGGTGGATAAGCAATCCTGAAAAGAGTCTGGAAAGTCCTCACACCAGAGGTGCTAGTCCTCCTGAACACTCCATACACCCCGGAATAACATGTAATTTCTTCATGAAAAACTATAAGTGGACTTAAATAGAACTCATAATTGTTTCTATTAAAAATAACATTTGTAATAAAATGATGCTTACCTAAGCAATCAAGATACCTGACTAAGCATACACAACTTACCTATAGTGAAAAATTAGAAATTCCTCATATTAGGAATTAAGAGAGGAAATGCTCAGGAGACACAACATTTCAAAAATCTGATCTAGAGAATATGGAAGATCAAGCTCAAAATAAAAAGCATGTTCTGAAATTCTAAGTAATGCTTATTGGACACTTTAAAATAAAACCATTAAGCCAATTTTATAATAAGACTTACAGCAATATAAAAGATATTTAACAGAGCTCTCTGTAACATCAACATGCTACCCAAATAGAAAGCTCTTACACTTACATTTTTAAAATGAAAGATTTTCCTTATCAGTTCCATAAAAAAAACAAACAAGATGATCTTCTGACAACCTAAGATAAAATGTTGAATCAAACAATTCATTTAGCCTTTATAAAATGGTTGTTGGCTAACTGATCTGAGTACCCAAGGAGAAACTCATATGGTCTTGTCATTTTAAGCAAGGATTCCAGTCTCTGGCAGAATGTGCTCAACATATGGATTACATAAAGATAACCTATAAGATATCCAGTACTGCACCCAATGAGAATAAAAGTAACAGGTAGAATAAAGCACGTGACTTTTGACCTTTAAAATAAAAGGCTGAATGAAGCATTGACATTAACATTTTACAGGGAAGAAAACATATGAAAGATTATTATTCATTTCCTACCATAATGTCTCCCTGAACCACTTTTTTTCCTTGGCCCAAGTACAAAATCTTGGTATTATGCTGTCTCCTATAAAAAATATTTCACAGTGCCCACCCGTCTTTGTTAGCAGCAAACTTAAAATAGTTTCCTTTTTTTTTTAAAAAGCCATTTTTCGGCTGTGTCCGATTCTTTGTGAACCCATTTGGGGTTTTCCTGGCAAAGATACTGGAGTGGTTTGCCATTTCCTTTTCTAGCTCATCTTATGGATGAGGAAACCGAGGCGGACAGGGGAAATGACTTGTCCAAGGTCACACAGCTAGTGAGTGTAGGAGGACAGATTTGAACTCGGGAAGATGAGTCTTCCTGACTCCAAGCCCAGCGCTCTATAGCACAATTTTATCAAAACATACCTCAATTGCTTGAGAATCAGCAGTAGCCCGTGGCCTTGAAGGTCTTATGATCCAGAGAGAACATGGGAAGCTCCCACCATTAACGTTTCATGTTTGGATTTCTCATAAGGTTACAGGCCTACCACTTCAATCCACATTAACCTTACTGAGATCTGTACCGATGAAACTATTACACTGTGGTAAATTCAGTCAGTTAAAACTAAGTATAAAACCCAAAGCCCTCAGGCCCTTCAGATAAACAATTCAAAGAGCAAGGAAACTGTTACAGAAAGAAGAAATTGTTAAGATATCTTTCTCTTCAAGATTTACTACTCCTGAATTTCTTATAAGACTTAAGACAAGACTCCAGGAGGTTTAGGGAAAGTCACTTACTCACCCACCTCTTCCAATTCTTTAAACTAATCACCTCACTACAAATAGAGCCCCATCATTCAAATGCAAGGCCTTACCTCTTCTAGGTTCTGAGAGGTAAAAAAACCATGAAAACCCCTCAACATGAGCAAAATGTTGCCTGATCATACATTTTATTTCATCAAACATTTTATTCTGTACCTTCTACATGGGGGGAAGGTGGGAGGGGTATCAAGAGCCAGGGACGTGAGGGGGGGGGTGGCAGCTGAAAACATGATGAGGAATCACAAGAACCTGGGCAGGAAAGGTAAAGTCAGCCCCAGGGGCTTGGGAAAAAGCCACGGGACCAAAGTGGAGGAGCCAGCAGTTTGTCTAGCCTGTCCCTCTCCAAGCAGCTCTTCTGACCTAACGAGACCTTCCAGAGCTCTGGATCATCCCCAATGGGCAATGCCAGCACCTGCACAGACACACACGCACACACCTCATACACTAACACCCACACGAAACACACCTCTGCCGCAGAATCTTCCCCGCACGAACACAGACCACACCAGACACATGTGTGCACATACCTCCAACACACACAGCAGACAGTACCCCCACAGAAACCAGGCACAGATTCCCATATGCGTGCATCTCAGACACTGACATGACACACACCACACCAGACACACACCTCAGAGATTTCCCCCCACAAACACACACAGCACACCAGACAAAATACACACGGGACACTCGTGCATGCACACACCTCAGACACACACCCCACACACATATACCACACACAAAGCACACCATACAGATGCAGACACAACAATCACGTATGCACACACTCATACACACCACACACCTCAGACACAGACCCCCAACATGAAACACATCAGACACTCACACACCCTCCACACAAAACACACCGAACAGACACCACACACTCACGCTCGCACCCGCTCAGACACTGACACCCCCTCGTCACATACACACACATCAGACTGGACACCCTCACACGCATGCACACACTGCAGACGCTGACACCCCACGCACACACCAGACACACGCACATACCCCCTCTTCCTCTCACACATGCACACATACGCGCGCACCCGCACCCCCTCCCCAGGCCCGACCCTCACCCTCACCTCTGGCGGTCGCTCCCCCCGGACCCCCAGCACCTCGCCGCCCCGGGGTGCGTGGTGGGGGGAGGGGAAGCCCCGCCCCGCCCCGGGGCCCGGACCTCCCGCCCCTCCCCTCAGGCCCGGGTCCGAGCCTCACCTTGGCCAGGCCCGCCGGGCCCCACCGACACTCTGGGCAGGAGCCCTCCTCCTCCTCCGAGTCGCAGCTGCTGCCGTCACAGTCGCTGTCCTGGCGGCCCCTCGGAGCAGAGTCGGGGCCGGGGGCCTCTGGCGGGGGCGGGGACCCGAGCGAGGGCGGAGCTGGCGATGAGGGGCGGCTCAGCTTGAGCATCACACTGGGGCCTCGGGCACCGCAGCGCCCGCGGCAGCGCCCGCGGCAGCGCCCGCCCGAACCGGAACTGCTTCGAGAGGCGTGGTCTCGGCTGGCAGCGAGGCGGGGCCAAGTCCGGAAAGGGCGCGAGAACGGAGGGAGGGGAAGCGAAGGGAGGAGAAAGCGAGGGCGAGAGTGCGCATGCGAAAGGGCCTGAGGCCCAGGACCCTAGCCCAGGAGGACCTGAGGGTGGGGAAATAAAGGAGTGAGGAGCCAATGAGGGCGATGGGGCGGGGCTGCAGCCAGGGGGCGGGGCAAGTGGGCGGAGGGCAACCGTTTGGGAGGGCGAGCTTTCCTACAGCTTCTGCTGCAGCTTTGGCCCCCAAAACACCTGTTAGTGGCGGGGGGAGGTGGACACTTCTGGCCAGCCCATCCTCTGGACGGAGGACTGAGGGCTAAACTTAGCTGGGCCCGGATGACCTGCGTTCGAATACCACTAGCCGTGAGGCCAGGCCAAGTCATCAAACCTCTTGGAGCCTCAGTTTCTTCATCTGTAAAACGGGGCTAACGATACCGATAGCACGGGGGTGTTGACTCAGACGAAAGACTGTATGAGATCATGCTGAGAACTTTACAATGCGGCATAAATGTCAGATATTATTATCCCTCGGGACAGACGCCCGCGGGGTCTGATTTTACAGCCTGGCCCCAGCTGGATAGTTGGGGATGGGGGAGGGAAGGGAATCAGCATCCATAGAACGCCCGCGGGCGCTTAGCACATGTTATCTTATGTCAGGAGCCCTTGAGGACCTAGAGAGCCACGTGTGGCCTCGAGGCCGCCGGTTCCCCACCCTGTCTTATGTGACCCTCACGATAACCACCGTACAAAGCAGGCGCCGTTAATAGCCACCTTGGCAAGGATAGCTGGGGTCTAAATGCACATTCGAACCCAGCTCCTTCTGACTTCAGGCCCAGCATTCCAACCCCTTCCATAGTCAGCTGCCTCCAAGTCAAGGGGTGTGTGGGTGAGGAGCTGGAGGAGAATGCTGAAAACCAACCCTCTTCCTTTGCACCACCTAGATTCCTCCCTAGAGACAGGTAGTTCGGGGCTTCAAGCTCTAAGCTTCCTCCCCAGCTCTGACACTGTTATGATTCAGAGCAGGAAACAGCTGAGAAACTGCTCCCACCAGGGCTCAGTCAGTCATTAACTCTTCCCAGCAAGCACAGGACAAAAATGACAGAAGTCTCTTGCTGAGGGAAGCTATCAAAGGAATTCTGCCTGCAAGTCATTCATGGCAAATGGGCTGTAGGTGTCGGAGAACAGTTTCACCCTTCCCTGTGCTCAAAAGTCCTTAGACCAGATTATGCATTGACTCATCTCTTCCTCAAACTCTCCAATTCTAGTGCCAGATCCATAGCATCTCATTAAATTTAGAGCTGGAAGGATCCTTAGAGACTGCCTAATCCAAATCCCTCATTTTACAGATTAGAAAAAAACAAAAAACTGAGAACCAGAGAATATTTTATTCACAAGTCCTTTGCTCAACCCTCTGACCACTTGGCGTGTTCTTTTCCATTACCTTTGCAAAGATCTGTCCATTTCTATGATTTCTACCATTCGATAACTGCCAAATCCCTACAACTTGGCTGTTTATGTGATTGGAGTACCTGAGTAAAGAGTATGGTTTATTGAAACTTCAGGAACCTTCTCTGGTTCTATTCACAAGGCAGACATGTACCATGTGTCTAATCTCTTATGCAGCCCGGGCCACCAAGGCAATGTGTGATAGAATTTTACAAATCTATGATGATGGAAAGCTTGTGTCTTATATTTCTTCAATGTTCCGTCATTGTGTCTACCAGAGGACTGCACCCATAGGTCTTCTGTCAAGACTTGTGAGTTAAGGGGTTTCATTTATCCTTTCAAAGGAGAGGAGACACCAAGGTCTCTCCGTCTAGCAGCTTGGCCTTCTCAGGATAGGCTCAGATGATTAATGAGAGTGTCTGCCTGTTCTGGATTGGAACATGAAACAGGATATTTAACCTTCCTCAATCCATCTATACTCATTCTCCTCACTCACATGTGCAAATCTGGGCCTAGAGTTAGGTTCCAAGAGGAAAGCACTGTTGAACACACTGGCCTACCATCAGAGCTTCATCCCTAACGCACCCTGGCCATAGCTGCGTTAACCTCTCCCAATTCCCAATTCTAGTGGTCTCCAGGGGCAGGTATAGATGTTGGGAGGGGGCAAAGAAAGAAGAAAAAAGCTAATGGACTCTGGGGTGGGGAGGGAAACACCAAAGTTAATCAGGAAGGAAAAGTGACTGTTTTCTCTCTGGAGGCCACTGTGCCCTGCTGAGTCACTCACTGCTGTCCCACCTGTCCCTGCCAGTCTCTGGAAAGAAAAATGATACCTATGTGAGGGAAGGCACAAGTTCTAGGAGGGAGTTGTTACACCATCTACCCCACCCCACCCCACCAAGATACCCATATACACAAGCACAGTTTCTCCAAGATAGAGAGGCTAAGGTCTCTCCTGCTGATGTCTGGGGAAAAGGACTCCCCAAGGGAGATCGAAGCTCAAACAGATGATACTGATTCTCCCTGTCCTAGTGTCTCTGAAATAGAGCAGCTCCTCAGGACAGGGAGGGTCTCCTGCAGCCGTGTGGACGAAGTCTGGCCCAATCTCTTCATAGGAGATGCGTGAGTGGTGATTTGGGGATAAGAAAATGCAGTGGGGAAATTAGGGTGAGGGAGGAAAGAGAGGAAACCTGTTCTGTTAGGAAGGCTTTACAGCAGGGGTGGAAGGAGGTATACCGTGTCTGTAATTAGACATGACCATGGTGTGGGAGGGGAGGAGAGGGAAGGTTCCTAGGTACAACCATAAGGTGGGAGAATGAGAACACTCAGTATTCCTAGAGGAAGAAAAATAGTAGTCCTAGAAACTGGGAGTTTTGTGTAGATTCCAGATGTCTTCCAAAAACTCAGAACAACTGATAAGCATGTGGTAAGGCAGGCTTCAGGCGTAGAAGATAGAGCCAGTTACAGGGATTTGGGTGAAAGACAAGAGATGGAGTTGGAGAGGGCAATGTCGTTGAGGTTGCTAGAACCTCCGACTGGTCCATCTCGGCTTATTTCAGCCCATTCCCTCCCTTCTCTTGGCTCAGAATGACAGTGGGAGCTGGGGACAAGAAAAATCCCTAAAGCTTCAGGTCCAAAAGGTAACTTACAGATGTGTTGAAAGAAGGCATCAAGGAAGGTACATGTAGTATGGGGAGTGGACAAGGATAGTTAAGAATCTTCCCTCTTTCTTCTCTACCCAAGGTCTGGGCCCAATGAAACTGAAAACCCCAGGTAGCAAAGGGGGTCCCCCAAACCTGACTCTGTTGAAGTTTAGGGGCTTAGGGGTGTTGAGACCCCAAAATCATGACACACGGGTCCTGCCCAAAAGAATTCGACCCAACCCTTCTTTCTGCCAAAGAGAAGGTTTATTAGAGCATTAGTCATACTGGGCAATCTCTTAAGGAATCGAAGCATTTGTATGGCTAATGTGAACAGGCCAGATCTTAAGAATCTAAGCCCTTGGCTAATCTGAGCACTTTAAAAGAGACAAGATGGACCTTATATACAAAAAGACTGTGGGAGGTATTTAGGAGTGGCCAAGTAGTTTGGGGTGACTGGAGGAGGGGTCTAAAAAAGATCTGGATGGGCATAGCCAGTAAGCTGGGATGAATAGAACTGCCAGGGACCTGGACCACCAGAGGCCAAGGGAGAATGGAGTCTATGTAGGATTAAGGGTGGGAAGTGACCAGGGGCAATTGGGAGGTAACAGCAGAATTGGGAGATTAGGCATAGCCACAATGAAAAGCAAGTTGATAGGATTATGGCCTCAGGTGAACACCAGAGATTTGGCTAGGTGGGAAAGTCCAGGGTTTTTCCTTTTTGGGGTCCAGATCCCAAAGACATGGCCTTTTCCTTTTAGGGGTTCAGATCCTATCAGCTCCACACTATCCATAAAGAGAAATATGTGTTGGGATGAGAGGAGGAGGTTCAAGGGCTAGGAACAGGGAAGAGTAAGGGAGGGGTCCAAGGCTTGGGCTTGGTGGGTATTTCCTTTAGATTACACTATTCTTCCTCATCTTCCCCACATCCCTAACGTAGCCAGACTGGATCAATCCACTAGCCACCTTATCTATTGTTGTCTTCCTCTAGGGCCACAGCAAACAATCGCTTTGAACTGTGGAAACTAGGCATCACTCACGTGCTGAATGCAGCCCATGGGGGGCTTTGCTGCCAGGGGGGCCCTGACTTCTATGGCAGCTGCGTGAGCTACCTAGGGGTGCCTGCCCATGACCTCCCTGACTTCAACATCAGTGCCTACTTTTCTTCTGCTGCTGATTTTATCCACAATGCTCTCCTCACACCTGGGGGTATGAAACAGGGGTTGGGAATGCATGAGTGTGCTTTTCTGTTCTCCCTGCTTTGCAGTCCAACCAAGGAATATCCGGCTTGAAGAAATCCCTCACTATTGATGGGGTGTAGACCCAAGCTGAGACCTTTGCCCCTCACCCCAAAAAGGAATTTGGGTCCAATTTGTCTACCAGATTCTCCTTGAATTCTCCCACTTGATCAAGGAAGTTTCTGGCTTTCTCCTGAAGCTATAATCCTATCAACTGGCCTTTCATTATGTTCTGTGCCCAATCTCCCAATTTTCTGTTACCCTTAATTTAGCCTAGCTCTCCACTGTCCACTCCCTGTGGTGGCCATCTCCCACCCTTGATCCTATCTGAACTCCATTCCACCTCCCAGTCATTCCCATCAAGATTCTCCTCTCTTGGATCTCTCCCACAGTCTTTCTGTATATAGGATTCATCTTGTCTCCATTAAGGTGCTCAGATTCCATAAGAACCTAGCCAAGGGCTCAGATTTTACAATCTAGCCACTAGCTCACAAATGTTCAGATTCCTTAAGAGTCTGGCCAATATGGCAGATCTTTAATAAACCTTGTTTTTGACTGAAAGAAGGCTTGGGTCAAATTCTTTTGGGGCAGGACCTACATATCTCGCTCTCAATATTTTGGGGCCCCAGCACCCCTAAACATCTAGACCTCAACATTATGATGAGAAGGTTCCAGAGCGACTCAGGCTTCAACCCAGATGTCCTCAGACTTCCATTTTTGCCCTAAAATATATGCCCCATGAGGAAGCTGGGGTAGGAGAAAGGAGGGGAAAGTCAATGAAGGAGCCTGGAGAAGCCAAGAAGACAACTTAGAAAGGGTTGGGGGCAGTCTCTGCTCCTTCCGCAATTCCTAAACTCAGCTAACCAGCCTCAACTCTCTTTTCTTCATGTGGGACTCTAGACTCAGTCAGCACCATTTTCTGGGCCTCAGTTTCCTTATCTGTGCAATGGGATTGAAGATAATGATGGCTTGAATAAGTATAGTCCTTTACACTTATTTTCAGAAGTAATTATCTCTGCCCATCCTCATAAGTGTAATGAAGGGCAGGTTAAGTTATTCTACTCTTTTCAGAGATAAGGACAAAGAGGATCAGACCGGTGAAAGGAATTGCAAACAATCACAAGTGACCTTTGATAGAGCTGGGACTAGGGTCACCTCAGGGCCCCCCAAAACTTTTGTACTATGTCATTGTAATGGAAAATAGTGAAAGACCAACTAGGCTGGAAGTCTGGTACCCTGGGTTTAAGGAAGGTTCCCCACCCCTGGTTTAAGTTCTATCCCTGAGGTACTAGCTGTGTGGCCCTGGGGAATTCACTTCTGCTCTGTTTCCTTATCTGTGAAATGAGGAGGATGAAAGTTCTTGCTCCTCTGTGCCTCCCAGAGTTATTTTAAGGATAGCACTCCATAAATCTTGCAGTGCTATAGAAATGGAAACTGTTGCTATTGCTCCCAGAGGGGGAAGTTCCCGGAGCCCCTGCGAGAGTTAGTGAGTGATTATTTCTAGTGGTGTTGAGGTCTAGGGGTACTCAAAATTCAAGAGCAGAAGATGCGGGTCCTGCCCTGAATGAATTCAACTCAAGCCTTCTTTCAGTTAGACATAAGGTTTATTAAAACACCGATTGAGGTGCACAAGATTTTAAGAATTTGTGCCATTGGCCAGACTCTTAAGGAATCTGAGCATTTCACAAGGGGGCAAGATGGACCTTAGATACAGAAGGACTATGGGAAGGATCTAGGAGTGGCCAAGTAGTCTGGGGTGACTGGGAGGTAACAGAAGGACCTAGAAGGGCCTGGGTGTCCCAGGCATGACCTGGGCCACAGGGAAGGGAGAGATCTAAATGGAATTAAGGGGTGGGGGATCCATCTGGAGGTAACAGACCATGAAGGGCTGGGCTAGGTTAGAGGTAACTGAGAATTGGACATGGTCAAAGCCACAATGCTAGGACTGTTGAAAGGATTGTACTGAGGTGATCCTCAGGCAAATGCAAGGGATCTGAGTTCAGGGGCTGGGCTCTGGGATTCATGGGAAAGTTCCAAGGGGGAGGGGTCCAGAGCCCACGCCCATCCTTGGAAGTAAGAGGGGCTTGCCTCCCCCAATAGCTTCTCACCACCCATCTCCCTTTTGCTTATTCCTCCAGCCAAGGTCCTAGTTCACTGTGTGGTGGGGATCAGCCGATCAGCCACTCTGGTCTTGGCTTACCTCATGCTGAGGCAAGGGCTAACTCTGCGGCAGGCTGTGAATTCTGTGAAGCAACGCCGTTGGATCTTCCCCAACTCTGGTTTCCTCAAGCAGCTGTGCCAGCTGGACAGGCAGCTTCAGGGAGCAGGAGGAGCTCCAAGGGACTGAGAGAACAACCCCTCATCACGTTCAGGCTATATCCTCACCTTTACCCTGACCTTCAAAAGAGAATAGGACAGCAGACAGGAGCCTCACCAAAAAGGAGATTTCTGTCTCTGCAAGGCCAGGGATGGTTTGGGGTGGGGGAGGATTAGGAGCACCTTCTGTCTTTTGCCAGGATTGGTCTCTCATCCAGGACAGGTTAGTATGGCTCCTGGTGCTGGCTGCCCCAAGGAGCAAGGTGATCTGAATGAATATGCCTACTCTTCCTTGCCAACACGGGGATGGGAAGGGAGTGGAAGGGTTCCCAGGGAGCCCCAAGTAACATGCCTGCAGAGAATAGTTGGATCTCCTGGGGGTAGAAGTAGTAAAGAATGTTTAGGAGCCCAAGGTCTACTCTCTCCTATCCACTCATCCCTTAGGTTTCTTATGTTTCTCAGCCTGAGGACACCATCACGCTAGTCATCCCCTTTGAAAGATGCTGGTTTTCCACTCCTACATAGAGGGCTAGATGAAGTTTGGTGGGAGGAAAGAAGAGAGAAGGAAGAAGGAATATAAGATAGGGTGGGTAGGGGGTGATGATGAAGACAGGTATGTGTGTGGGTAGGAGGTGTGGACTGGGAAACTTGCTTGTTGCCTAACTTTGATGTCTGGGCCAGGCCCTTCTTCCTTCCCCTGAAGGCAGCAAAGGGGAAGAGATGAGGAAGGGCCTGAGGAAACTACCTCCCTGTGGTCATCAAATCCTAACTGGTACCACCATCTCCACCCTAACTTCTACCAAGTCATACACAAGACCCATCAAACCAAGAGCTCACACTCAATCCCAGGCCCTCTCCTGCCATTCTGGCTACCCAACTAACCCGCCAACAATGCCCTGGTTACCCATGCTAGATGTTGTAGGAGTATGTGTTTTTGCTGAGCAGGCAGGACCATCTCCAGCTTTCCTAAATTAGAGGAGCAAGATGGATGCCAGTGCTTGGGGGGGGGGGGTCTCCTTTCCCCTTATCTCCCTTCCTTCAAAGGGTCCCTCTAACCAAGATCTTACAACTTCACACATATCTCCACACACTTCTCCAGGCTCCTGACCCCTCTCCCCCCAATCATCAGTTTTCCCTCACTCTCTTTCCTTCTCTTTTCAGCACTCCTTTGGCCTCATTCTTTTACTCCTCCCACCCCACTCACCACACACTCAGGAAACCCAGGCTATGACCGTTTGGGCAGAGACTTCAGGCTAAACTGTCTCTTATGCCAGGTACTCAGGTAGAAATAGAGAAAAAGGAAGGTACATGTTACGGTTTGATTGGTTAGGTGATTGTTTATAATGGTTTGGTTACATGTGTTAACACATATGTCACACTTATGTGTGTATGTGTGTGTGTGTGTGTGTGTGTGTGTGTGTGTGTGTGTGTGTGTATCAACCAAATGATTGATATGGTTAGGGTTTGATAAGCCTAGTCCTAATATCCAAGTTTCCCTGGGCCAGAGGATATGGTAGACTTTCTTTTTTTTTTTTTTATGGTAGAGTTTTTGAAGTCATCCTTTATAGCCAAACACCTTTTCTCTGCCAGATTACTCCCAGTCTAGACTAGGAGGATCTCCTATTCTGAGATCTCCAGAGAAGGACATGTCACCGCTTCATTTCCCACCTTCAGTTGTTCATACTCCCTTTGGCTGGTGCTCAAATTCATCCAAAAGTCTATACTGAGTCCCTCCTTCCACCAGTTAAACTCACATCTTCTTGTTCTGTCTATAAGAGAGACAGAAAATGACCCATATTCCTGCTACCTGTGATACAGAAGTTTTTCTGCCCCTCCTGGTGACCATTTTTCCTAAGCCTTTCCACTGAACTTTAGTGATGATTTGCTTCCATTGCTAACTGCTAAATCAAAGGGGGATAGACTCTTTTTTGGGGGGGGGAGTGGATAGACTCTTTATCTAGCTCCTATTTTGAGTTTCAGAGACCCCAGTGACTGCAACAGACTCTAAATGGATTGGTATGGTCACAGAGGTTGAGGAAGGGGATGTGAACTGCCATGTAGGTGATATCAGAGAGGCAGCCTAGTATGCTAGAGTAGAGATGGGATTGAATTCTGCCTAGACATTTATTAGCTGTGAGCCTTTAAGCACACTGAACCTCTGTACCTCAATTTCCTCATCTGTAAATTGAAGGGGTTAAATCTGATAACCCCCTAAGGTTCCTTCTAGCTCAAAATGCATGGTCCTATGAGTTGGGGAACTGACTCTCAAACCAGTGAATAGATATACTGAAGACTGAACTTTAAATTTTTCTGGCCTGCTCGGGGAGACTGCCTACCCTCCAGGTCTCCAATTTGGGAAAATTCCAGAATGAATCACTAAAGATATGGCTGTTGAACCTCTTGAGTGGCAATGGATCATTATAAAAAGTCAGAGTGACCTTATTAAGAACAGGTCAAGTTAGACTAACCTCATTTCCTCTTTTGACAAGATTATTAAACTAGTATATGAGAGAGATGCCATGGTCATAGCTTATCTAGATTTTAGCAAGGTTTTTGATATCTCCTCCTATTCTCACAGAGAAGATAAAGAGACAAGGATTAACTGGTAGTATAGATTGATTCACAGCTGGTTGGATGGCTGGATTCAAAGAACTACTGCTAATAGTTCAGTGTCAGTGTGTCAAGAGGCCTCTGTGTACCCTGGGGATGTATGCTTGGCTTTGTGCTTTTTAATATTTTTTAACTATGACTTGCATTTTTAACAGCTCACCAAATTTGCTGAAGCACAAAGCTGGGAGAGCCAGACAATATACTGATTGATGAGTCAGGATCAACAAAGATCTTATGCTGAATCTATTAAGATGAAATTCCATCAGGATAAGTCACTCCTCTGGGTACCAAATGTCAGCTGCACAAGCACAAGATGGGAGAGGCACATGGTTAGATAGCACTTCTGAAAAAGATCTAGGGATTTTACTGGACCACAAGCTCCCCATGGGGATGATGCAGCAACTGAAAAAATACAAATGGAATCTTGGGTTGCATTGAAAGGCACGGCTTCCAGGAATAGGGGGGTGAACTTTGCTCTTATCAGTCATCATCTGATATGTTATGTTCAATTCTGGATGCCATACTTTAAGATGAACATTGGCGAGTTAGTGTGCAGAACAGGGCAATCATGGCCACCAAACATGGTTAAAAAACCATGATGCTTTGTCATAGGACTGGCTAAGAAAACTGGGGAGGGGGGGACATTTAGCTTGGAGAAGAGAAGATGGAAGAACATGATATATGCTTTCAAATGTTTGCAGATCTATTTTGGGGAGGAAGAATTATATTTATTCTGTTTGACCCCAAAGGGCAAGGGGTCAATTTAGGCTTGACATCAGAAAGAACTTCCTAACAATGAAAGCTGTCCAAAGGAGGAATGGGGAGCTTCAAGAGGTAGTAGATTTTCCCTCTCAGTAGGCCTTCAAGAGGAGGTTGGATGACTATTTGGGTAAGTTATAATTTACGTTGGGGTTGTACTAGAATTCAGTGCGGCCTCAAGCCCACAGGTTCCCCACCCCTGTACTAGATGGGTAATGAGGTCCCTTCCAATCCTCAAATTCTGTGATTGTATGATCTCCGGCAGTCCCAAGTCTCCTTTTTTTTTTTAATTAATTTTATTTTGAATTATCAACAATCACTTCCATAAGCTTTTGAGTTTTAAAATTTTCTCCCCCTCCTTCCCCACCTCCCTCCCCAAAATGGAGTGCAATCTGATATAGGCTATACATATACATTCCTATTAAACATATTTTCACATTAGTGATGTTGTAACTAAGAATAAGAACCAATAGGAGGAACCACCAGAAAGAGGAAACAAAACGCAACAGAAGAAAAAAAATAGCAAATAGTATGTTTTGATCTGCATTCAAACACCATAGTTCTTTCTTCTTTGTGGATAGCATTTTGATCCATTCTGCTATCCACTTCCGTTTCATGGAAGAGTTCATCCCTCCTTTCCTTTTCTCTCAGTACATTTTCTTAGATCAAATTAATCCACTTACTTGGATCCATTTAACCCACTTGATTAGATTTTTTATCATTACATCAAAGTAAATTTATACCCATCCCCTTTATGTATACCCCTTTAACATGGTATAATAACAATACAGTTCTCAAGGGTTACAAGTGTCATCTTCCCTTGTAGAGATGTAAACAGTTTGCCCTTATTAATAACATGTTTCTTTCTGTCCTGTTTACCTTTTATATCTCTCTTGAGTCTTGTATTTGAAGACCAAATTTTCTGTTGAGCTCTGGTCTTTTTATCAGAAAGGTTTAGAAGTTCCCTATTTTGTTGAATATCTATCTCCTCCCCTGAAGATCATGCTCATTTTTGCTGGGTAGTTGATCCTTGGTTGTAATCCAAGCTCCTTTGCCTTATGGAATATCATATTCTACGCCCTACAGTCCTTTAAAGTAGAAGCTGCAAGGTCCTGTGTAATCCTGACTGTGGTTCCATGACATTTAAATTGTTTCTTTCTGGCTGCTTGCAGTATTTTCTCTTTGACCTGGTAATTTTGGAATTTGGCTACTATATTCCTTGGCCTTTTCAATTTGGGATCTCTTTCAGGAGGTGATTGGTGAATTCTTTCTATGGCTATTTTACCCTCTGGTTCTAGGACCTCAGGGCAGTTTTCCTTTATGATTTCCTGAAAGATACTGTCCAGGCTCTTTTTTCCATTGTGATTTTCAGGTAGACTAATAATTTTTAAGTTGTCTCTCCTGGATCTGACCTGATCCAGGTCAGTTGTTTTGCCAATGAGGTATTTTACATTTTCATTTATTTTTTCTTTCTTTTGTTTTTGTTTGACTGATTCTAGCTCTCTCATAGAGTCATTAGCTTCCATTTGCCCAATTTTAATTTTTAACAAATTGTTTTCTTCTATTAGGTTTTGTACCTCTTTCCCCATTTGGCCAATTGTATTTTTTAGGGACTTGTTTTCTTCAGTGTACTTTTTTCCAGTTGGCCAATTGTATTTTTAAGGACTTGTTTTCTACAGTTAATTTTTGCCCTTCATTTTCCAAGCTATTGACTCTCTCTTGCATACCTCTCATTTCTTTTTCCATTTTTTCTTCTACCTCTCTCATTTGACTTTTAAAATTCTTCTTGAGTTCTTCTAAGGCAGCTTTTTGGGCTTCAGACCAGTTCATATTCCATTTTGAGGTTCCAGATGTGAGTTTGTTGGCAATGTTGTCCTCTTCAGAATTTCTGCCTTGATCTTCACTCTTCCCATAATAAGAATCTATCGTACATTTCTTTTTGCTCATGGTATTTGCTTATTTCCTGGCCTTTAAAGAGATTGAGCTCTCCTGCTTGGGAGCAGGGGGCAGTGACCCAGACTTCTTGTGTTGGGAGCCTAGGGCCTGGTCGATGGCTTTGTGTGCTGGGGCCTCCAATGCTGCCAGTTGGAGGCCGTAAGGTTCTCGCAGCTTACCTGGTGTTGGGCTGGAATCAGCCCAGGGGTAGGATTGGGTAGTCCCAAGTCTCCTTCTTGAGGAAGTCACCCAGACATAGAAGATTAGACCTCTGGAAGTGACTTTCCTTAGAAGTCATCAAATTCAATCTCTTCTTTTTATAAAAGAGGAAAATGAGGCCCAGAGAAGTTAAATAGATTTATCCAAAGCCACATGGCTAGTCAGTGGTCTAGAACTCATATTTCTTGACTCCTAGTACATCTATCATACCACCTGCTAGATTCCTCTCTCTCTATAAAATGAGCTAGAAACTGATGCCTCCCTGACTGTGCTGGAGGTCACTCAATCAAAAAATTAGGAAAGTCAGGAAGCAGGGTTCCTGAAGTTCCTGAAATAGTCACCAGGAGTATTCTCTCCCTTGGGCCTTCCCTTGGGTTATGACTAAGTCCAGTTGGACTTTGGTAATAAGAGCCAGGATGACTCAACTGTGCGTCAAGTGGCTATTTTGTAACTTTAACCCTTTTTTCTTTTTCCAGGAAAAAAAAAGCTTACTAGAGGTGAAATACAAATAGACTTTTGCTTTTATATCACATTCATTTCTGAACATGCCCCCTACCCCTTTTTCTACCCTTGTAATAACAACAACAAAAAACACAAGCATAAAGTTTAATAAAACAAACTGATATATCAAACTGTGGTTGACAGCATAAGGCAACATTCTCCACCCACAGTGTTCTCTACCTCTTCAATGAAAGGAAGGAGTTTAAGCTGATTTTCCCGTTGTTCACATTTAGGACTCAAGATATGAAGGCAGTCTAGGCTGGAGTGCTTCTCAGGGAGCCAGATCTTTGGGTCCCTTGATGGAAAATGGATCAGGGGCTAAAGTGACTTTTTGGATGAAAAAGAAGCTTAAGAATGAGCCTCCTCTGCAAGAGAAAGGGTAGGAAGAGAGAAGGAAAGAGAAAAGGAACAAGAAGAGAAGAAAGTTGACTAAGATAGGGTGTCTGGAGTCAAAGAGATAGGCCCCAGGGTCTTGAAGAACTAGGAATCCTTCCTGTTTTGGGACGATACATCAATTACATCTTTGTGAAAATGAGGGATCCTTGCTCCACCATCAGCCCACTAAAGTCCAACAATCTAGAGATGAGAACCTCAAGGAGCGTACTCAGGCTGTCCTCCCAATACCCTCCCCCTGGCACCACCCACACTCTCATGTAAGTGGGCTAGTGTTTCCCTAGGGAAAGCAGGCACCCCAATAACCTTCTTATTGTCTCTACTTCCTCTGAACTTATCTTCTTACCCCTGCCATCTTTTGCTGTTCCCTTGTGTCAAGGTTCCTTTGGATTTCACCCTGACTAGAGCACTCCCCATTGGTGGCCAGGCAGGTGGGAAGATGTTTCACAAGGTCAGAGATAAGACACCAGAGCTAGATGACCTGCAGCGATTGCTCTGGACTCAAACGAGGCCTGGGAACCACATGGATCAAGTCTGGCCTAAGATCTATGTGGGAGATTTGTAAGATATCCCTTGCCCATTGTCCCTCTCCTGATTTCCTATCCTGTCCCAAATCACACATCCTAGGACCCAAACTGGGAATCAAATCCCAGAGGGATCTGGGGCTGCCCCTGGAGAGACCATGGGGGAGGGAATATTAAACAAGCTGGACGTCTCTACCCCATCCCGATCCCTAGAGAATGAGCCATGGGGCTGGAGAAGTAGGACTAGATTATCAGGATTGGGGCTACAGTTAAGTTCTGGGTTAAAGTGGAGATATTAGCGTTTGGGAAGTATGTTTTGGGATTTTGGTTATGAGTAAGAGGTCTCAGTTTTGGATGTGGGTTAGGGTAAGAATTAGAGTTGGGGATTGTTAAGGCTGAGACTTGGTCAGGCTCCCAGTTATTGGATGCCCAGTGCCGTGTGACTCAAGAGTAACTTCATGTCTCTCGGGCTTCCTTCCCCAACACAGTGTGGCTGCCAGGAATATCAAAATGCTGCAGAGTCAAGGAATCACTCATATCCTTAATGCTGCCCATGTAGGCTTAGATGTATCTACAAGACCCACTTATTATTATTGCTTACCTGTGACCTACCATGGGATCCAGGCTTTTGATCACCCTGCCTTCGACCTCAGTGTCTTTTTCCTTGAGGCAGCAAACTTCATCCAAGGAGCTCTGGAGACCCCAGAAGGTAAGAGGGCAAGATAGTGGGAGGGACTTTCTCCTTTGCCCAAGCCCTATCAGCACTGCCCCCCCCCCCCATTCTCAGGATCATGCAAAGATGATTGGGAGCAGGAGTCAGTCTAGAGTTCTAGGACCTAAGGCCTGGGATTTGGTGGGGTTGAAGACCTGTAACTGCCCCTGATTTTCTGTCACATTGGGTTGCGAGTTCCCAAAAATGGATCAGGGATTCTTCTTCCTTGTCCTTTGCTTTATGCCTATTTGATGCTGTTCTCAATTCCTCATCTTCATGGCATGATTTATTGAATTTGGTGTCAAGAAAACCTGAATTCAGATCCAGCCTTAGATACTTACTAGCTGCATGACCCTGGGCAGGTCACTTAATCTCTCTTGGTCTCAGTTCCTCATCTGTAAAAGGAGAGAGTTGCACTTGATCTCTTCCAGTTCTAAGTAAGTCTCTGACCTTCTGATTCCTCCTAGGGAAGGTGCTTGTCCACTGCGCCATGGGGCTCAGCCGCTCTGCTACCCTGGTGCTTGCCTTCCTCATGCTCCGGAAGCAGCTGACCCTGGTGGAAGCCCTGAGGACAGTAAGTGTCCATCGAAACATCTGCCCCAATCGGGGGTTCCTCTCCCAGCTGCGCGACCTGGATCTCCAACTTAGCCAGGAACGGCATAAAGGGAACAGGGAGAGGCTGATGCCGCCCACCACTCTGCACGGAAAATAAAATGGCCATTTTTTAAAAAAATCAAAGCTTTACTGATGTTTTACTAGGTTCAAAGATTCTGCCAACGGTGTTATCTTCCCTTAAGAATGGATTGGGGGGGCAGCTAGGTGGCGCAATAGATAGAGTACCGGCTCTGAAATCAGGAGGACCTGAGTTCAAATCCAGCCTCAGAACAACCACTTGACACTTACTCACTGTGTGACCCTGGGCAAGTCACTTAACCCCAATTGCCTTTTTAAAAAAATGGATTGGAAGGGTGAAGATCTGAAAGCTATGACTTTGTCCTCAGTAAGAGCTGTGCCCACATATGCCCGTGAAGGCTGAAATTTGCAGGGATCAAGATGGCGGGAGGATGCTGTAAGCTGAGATAGGAGAACTTTGCCGAGGTTCCCTGGGGATTTTCCAAAGGTCCCAATGGCTTTGAGATGTGAAGACCTCTGAGCAGCTTCAGGTCACAAACTAAATTTCTGCTCAGGGCCCAGGAAACGTGCAGTAGTTATTCCTCTGTACTACCCTTTCCAATGGCCACTTCTCTGAAGTCTAGGCTGCAAACAGCGGCCCATCCTCCACCTGGATAGAATTATGGGTCATAGATTCTTACAGAAGGGACATCTAGCTTCTGCAAAGCATAGGCCAAGGAACTGGACTTCATTGTCTGGCAAAATCCTCCCAGGCTCCTTGCAACTCTGCCCTGTGGCCTGACATCCTAGGGATGAACTCAGTCAACTCTGTGAAGAGAGAAGGCCTAATAAGCATTTCTATAGCACCTACTATGTGCTAGGCACTGTGCTTTACAAATATTCTCTCATTTGAATAGCATTCAAGCTTCTATCTACCCCTTTCTTAGCTTTGTTCCCTCTCCAGCCTTCTTTTTGGTACAGCCACGGACAGTGCAGGCAGAGGGAAGGAGAGGAGGTATCCAGGAGGGGACCAGACATCCAAGTGACCTATTGGCGAGCTCGGTTTCCCTTCCTTTCTCCATCACACCTCTGCGTCCTAAGTGGGACAAGACCATAATCATGAGGCTTCTTCCATTTTGCCTTCTACCCTCTATTTCTCCATAATAATAAAGACTTGAAAAGAATACCCACACAGTTTTAAATCCCCGTGGCCTGGGATTAGTTGCTTACTGCCTTCTCTTGCTATTCCTTCCACCCCCAGCTCCCAACAATCATTGACACATACCATATATATAGCCTAGGCTGTGGCTGGACTAACTGTATCCTCAGCATGCAGAGTTCTGATGATGGGTCAGAGGGGGAGGAGGCAGGCATCAGTGCCAGGACTACCAGACTGGGCTCAGTCTCATGCCCTTACCATGCCATCTTCTCGGCACCTTCCCCTCCTGGGAATGAACGAGACTGATGGCCCCGAGTAGGGTGGGTAGAAAGAAGAGGAGGGCGGAAGAGGGGAATCACATCATGGTTTATAATTAAACACAAATCCAAAATAGAATCAGCCTCAACAGAGCAGAGACAGGCAGCTGGGAACCTGCCTGTTGGGAGACAATAGCCAGCGGGCTGGAACCAGGTTAGGCCCCCTCCACAGGTGAGTGCCACCCCCTCCTCACCCCATGCTAGGCATGCCTGGAAGGACACAGCACCTTGGTGGCATATGCTTGGGGGTGGCAGGGGCACATGTGGTTCGTGGCAGCTGGGTGGGTGGGGACAATTAGAGCCACCTGACCCACACAGATAGACACAAACAGACAAACAAAAGAGGAGTCAGAAACAGAGGAAAATTGACAGTCAAGAGAGACATACAGAATTCAGCAGTATACCCTCCTCTTCTCAGTACAGACAAGACAACCCTGAGCTGTGTAATTATAAGAGGTTGGTAAAGGAATGATTAATTATGCCTGATAGGTAACCTGATAGTGTAGTGTAGTGATTAGGGAGCCAGTATAGTATAGGGGAAAGCATGCTAGGTCTGTAGTCCGAGGTAATGGGTTCAAATCCCAAGTTTGCCATTTACTACCTTTAAATTATTTAGACTTTCTGGGCCTTAGTTTCTTAATCTGTGAAATAAGAAGAGGCATTTATGGCATATTGGCTAGAGAGCTGGTCTTGAAGCCAGGACAACCTGGGTTCAAGTTCTTGGCCATGTGGCCCTGGGTAAGTCACTTAAACTCTTCCCGAACCAGGTGACTCCCTAAGACTCTGAGTTGTTGAGGAGTTTTCTCCCCTGAGAGTTCCCTTTACCAAAGAAATCACCAGCCCGGTCCCCATTCCCCTCCTTCACTCAAAATCAAGAGATGAGACTAGACTACTAAGGTCCCTTCTACCTCTGAATCTGCTGTCTTCTAAGTGTGGAACTTAGAATAGGAAAGACCTGCATTAGAATCCTGTTACTTGTTAGCTGAGTGACCCTGGGCAAGTCACTTAACCCCTCTGAGTCTCAGTGTCCTAAGTTAAGAATGGATGGCCCACTCCCCATGGGCTCTTCTGTTCTCAGATTTTTTAGGGGCCCAGGGAGGAAGGGAGGGATGAAGACAGCTTCTCAGATGAAAGATGAAGGCAGGTTATGGGACTGAGGGAAACAAAGGAAAGGGCCTTCCAGCTGTCCAGGAGGGGCTGAGCCTGGATGGAGGGCAGCATTTATTTCCGCCTGTAAGAGAAAAGGTTATAAGAGACCTCGCTATTTCACTTTCTTCTATGTCAGGGGTTCTTAACCCTTTGTGAGTATTTCCTGGACTGCTTTGGCAGGGTCTGATGAAGCCTATGGACTCCTCAGAATGTTTCTTTTTTTCTTTTTCTTTTTTGGCTAGGTGATAGGGTTAAGTGACTTGCCCAGGGTCACACAGCTAGTAAATGTTATGTGTCTGAGGCGGTTGAACTCAGGTCCTCCTGAATCTAGGGCTGCTCTATCCGTTGTGCCACCTAGCTGCCCCTCAGAATGTTTTTAAATACAGAAAATAAAATACATAGGGTTATACTACTTATACATAGGATTAAAATACATAGGACTAAATACTTATCAAACTATTTTTTAAAATAACTTCACAGACCCAAGGTTAAGAACCTCAGAATAAATTTTTCATTTCAAAGCTCTTTACAATTTTATACCTTCCCTAGGCTAGACTAGATTAGTCCTATAAGCACAAATTCTGACTCTCCAATTCCCCCAAACCAAAAAAATCCCAGAGAACATAACTTGGACCAAGTATTTTTTTTTTTTTTTTGGTGAGGCAATCAGGGTTAAGTGACTTGCCCAGGGTCACACAGCTAGTAAGCATCAAGTGTCTGAGGTCAGATTTGAACTCAGGTCCTCCTGACTCCAAGGCCAGGGCTCTATCCATTGTGCCACCTCGCTGCCCCTTGGACCAAGTCTTAAGATGAGTCAGAGGCTAGGGGCAGTCACAAAGCACCCCAGGGCAGCCAGAGACCAGTGCAGAGGTCTGCCTCTGTACATGATTGCACCTGGAAATCCAGGGCCTCAGTGCCAATGGGGTGGAGTTGGGGGGGTACCCCTTGGAAGAGTAAGGATTCCCCTTGATGTCCTCATCCCTTTTCCAACTCCACTCCTGCCCCCTGATGCTGAGAGAAGTGGAGACAATGGCCCTGGTCAGGATGGTGTGGGCGAAGGATCCCTAGGCTTTACGGTTGAAAGGAATCTTTAAGGACAGAATTAGGGATTTTGAACAAGAAAGCACTCCAGTAGCCACCTACTCCAACCCCCTTATTTTACAGATGCTGAACTGAGGAAGTGATTGCCCTAGGTTGTACAGGCAGCAAAAATCAGAGACCAATTTGAACTCAGGCCCTGATTTCTCCGGTGAGAAATGCGGGGAGCCCAGAATCTCTCAGCTCAATAATCCTTCCTGTCGGGGAAAGTGCTAAGTTGTTGGTTGAAGTGATGGCCACAGGGGAAGGAAGATCTTCTTGGGTCCGAGATATTGGGGGGTTCTTATTTTCCTTCCGAGCAGGCGGGCTGCAGAGCATGGGGATGGCCACGGGAGGGTAGTCTTACCCTGTGTTTGATTCTGGGAGGCTAGAGAAAGGGATGGCAAAGGAAGAGCTGGGTGGGACCAGGTCTCTCCATCAGAATTGTAGCAGGGAGACAGAGTGGCTGGGTTCACGGGGTAAGAGCTTCCTGAGGCGGCCCCCAGCCTCAGCCTGATCAGAATCAAGGCTGAAAGAGCCCTGGGACAGCCAAGCCTGGCTGATTGGCGGGGCCAGTCTCTGGTTACGTCCTGTTTTTGGCGGTTTGCTGCAACCTCCCTTCTTTCCTGCCAATACTCCTTCTCCGGGGCCCCTCTCAATGACATCATATGAGGCCGCTTGCTCTGCGGTCTGTCCTGGTCTAGCTCATGAGCACATCGTACATCGGTGCCTTGAGAAGGCTTGATGAAGCCGTATTGCAGCTCATGAGACGCTCCTCTTCTGGGCAGAGATAGCTCAGGGCCTCCCTCCTGCTCCCTCCCCCTTCCCCCCAGAGGCTTCCAGGCCAACCAGCTGGAATTCTAGACGCTTCACAACATCTGTGTTCTCAGATGGAACTTAGCCCCCTGTTCTGATCCCTACTGTTGAGTCCAGCACCGCCCTGGCTCCCAGAGCCTCCAGACTCAAGCCCTAGACCATGCTCTAGGTAGGTGGATTTGTATATAGGTAAGATGCCCATTACTGGGGAAGGGTCGGAGGTCTGCAGGATTAGGCAGTCCTTCCGTGGCCTTAAGCTTAGTCCTGATTGTAGCCTGTGAAATCTGCAGAACCCCACAGTTAGGGTTTCCAGGGAATTCAACCCTCTGGGTCAATAATCATTCCTGCCACCAATTGGCTGTGGGAATTTGGACAGGTCATCAGGTTCTATAGGTTTCTCTTCATCCCTGCCGCCAGTTTTCAAGCCGATATTGTAGACCTTTACCCCAGTGGAAGAATATTCCCTTTTATGCTGTCCCATACCTAAATACCCTGCATAGGGGGGTGGCCTGAGAAAGAAGGCACCACCTCCATCTCACATAGCCTAGTCATGGCATGCAGGATAGGAGGTCAAAACCAGAGGGACACCAGACCCTGATATATATGACCCCACAGCTTTATAAGCTCCAACTTCCCAGGGATTTCCTTATATAGTTGGCTATCCAGATAAGCCACCTTCCTGGACAAGACACAACCGGTGTCTCCATTTCCGTGCCCATCAGGGCCCTGTCACCCAAAAATAATGGTTCTGGATACAGCTCAGGAATGCAAAGGAGGAAAATTAAGGCTGTGTCTAACCTTTCCTTGATCAGATGGGAAGATTCACAGCTATTAGAGGGGCAGGTCTCAATGAGGAATTGAGGGATGGGGGGTTTTCACCGGGACAGTGTCAGCCAGGAGCTCCTGACTGTGGGAGAGGAACGTGGAGAGTCCTGTGGTCACATTGGCCAGTTGTCAGACAGAGAATAGTATAGGACATTATTGTCCCTGCTCCAGGTAGAAGTCACTTCAGTTCCTAGCTGCTTCAGCCTCATGTGAGTGTCTCAAGAATATTACTGGTCCCCAAGCTTACCTGGGAAAATTGTGAGAAGGCCTTGGATTCCCTCGCCTACCCCCTACACCCAGGGCCAGGTGCCCCTTGGGCCTAGAGACATACATGCGAGTACTGCATCCACTATGTCCTATGAAAAGAAGCCCAGGAGATAGCAGGCCTTCCATGTTTACTGAACTCTTCCAGCCTGGCTTATTTCCAACATGAGGTGGTGGACCTGGCCCAGGTAAAATTGGTTCTTGTTAAAATTGTGAAGTCTCATCATTTTCTGTTAGACATCTTTCCCTCAACTTGTATCCTCCCCCTGAGTCTTGTCCCACTAGTCAGCTAGTTGTCATAAAGGCTTTGAACAGCAGCCTTAAGGTATCACCCCTCTCCAAAGTAGTAGAGCTCCTTGGACAATTCCTACACATTCCTACAAATAACAAATTACATGCACCCTTAATTTCCTCATTGTTCCTTGAACTCAATTCCTGCTTATCTCCTAATCAGGAGAGGTAATTGCTCAATAATCAGAACAAGAACCCTGGTATAAAAGTTACAAAGGAAGATTATAGCTTGCTTTCCTTGAATGGTAGACCTTTTTTTTTTAAATAAAAAAAAACTTTGAAGTTAAGTTAACAGGTGACAGTATGTATTCCATAGTAATAATAATAAATAAAAAATCATAGAATCACAGAATTTTCTAGAGGGAAGGGTCACATGCTTAACCCTAATCCCCAGGATGCTGTGTGTTCAGCCACTGAAATGAAAGAAAAACAATAATTCAGCCTCAGAACTACTCCATTTGACTCTGACCCTCAGGGCATTTGGGAAAAGGAAGTTGGTTAGGGCAGGGGGACCTTCTTGCTTCCAGATTCCTCCTCCCTTTTTGCTGAGGAAAGAGAACTGGGTTTTGCTGGGGCTACATTAAGGGAAATATTACCTGTTCAATTCAGTACCTACTATGTGCCAGGCCCTGGGCAATCCAAAGACAAAAATGATACTGTCTCTTTCTGCCATTGCACTCTTCTACACACTAGTAGGACTCTGGGACAATCATGTCCAAAGGAGGTTGGCTTGACCTGTTTAGGCCCAGACAAGTATGTGGCTGAGTTTTGTAGCCAGTGGAGCACAGTACTGAGATCCTGGGTGGCCTCAGCTGGATGACTTGATGGTCAGCAAGGTGCTAGTCTAGGAGAAGAAAGAATAGAGATCTCGCTTCCCTTTAAACACAGCTGAGAGCCCCGAGGGGCAAGGGATGGTATAAGCCCTGCAGGGATCACTCGTCTCCTCTGTCTCATGGCTAAACTCAGGCAAAAAGGCCAGGGAGGTATTGGGCAAGACCCACAGCTTTCACTCTGTCCTTGTGGCCCTAGCAGAATGGCCTCTACCTGCCACCCAGGTAAGGCAGAGGTGAGGGAAAAGAAGATGGTGTGCAATTACAGAATGGGAGGGAATTTTAAAGATCACAGGTCCAACCCCCTTAGACCTCAGAGCCCCATTCAATTAGCTGAACTTCTACCACTCATTCATTTTGGGGATGTGAAAGCTGAGGCCCAGAGAAATTAAGTAACTTATCCAAGGGAACACAGGTATGAAGCCGAACTCTAATCCAGACCTCATGTGACATGGAGCAAGGATCTTTTTCTCTCTAACCCTGAGATTCCTCCTCTGTAAAATGAGGGGCCTGGAGGTGATGACCTCAATGACCCCTTCCTGATCCTGGAGGAGCTCCTGGGATAGGACATTCTTCTGATTCTCAGTCCAGAACTGTTTCCCCTAGACCATGCTGTGGAAGCCCCCCTAGGTCACACACAGCCACGTTGGGTTGCCTGAGGGGATAGGGATGCAGAGTAACGCCTGAAGGGCAGCTGGACTAATGCTGGGAGATCCCCATCCTTTCCTCTGCAACGGACATCTTCTCCCCTGATGCTGTGATCTTTTTGGCCTTCCTGGCCCCCCCCCTTTCCATAGATCCCAAAGCCATCTTCCAGCTCTCCTCCCATGGCTGATTACATGACAGGACAAGTCTCTCTCCTATACTTCATCCCTTCACTCCCTCTATCAAAAACAAAAACAAAAAAGCAGGTATCGTTCCTCTTAGTGATGGGACAGACAGCTCTTCCTGGACTCCGGGACTCATTCCTCCTCCCCCCTTCCCTTCCCCTTCCCTCCTCCCTCACCCAGGGCCTGCATAAGGACAGCAATGGGATGCCCTCCCCTGTTTTCCAGGATGGATTCACTGCAGAGACAGGACCTGAGGAGGCCCAAGATCCATGGGGCAACCCGAGTTAGCACCCAGACCCTCGTCCCCTACCAGACACCCACGTTGGCCTACCTGCAGCGCCTGTTGTGGATTCGAAGGGCCTCTTCCATGAGCCACATCAATGAGGTCTGGCCCAACCTCTACCTGGGAGACGCGTAAGCCCGCCTTCCCCCACCGAGCAATGACGGGAGGGAGATGCACCCCTGAGGAAACAGTGATGGGCCGCGGTCTTCTCAGGGATGGCTTTTTCCTGAGGAATGGTTGAAAGGCTCAATCCCCAGTAAGAGAGGGAAGAATGAGGGGAAATACCCAATAGGGCAAAGTAGGGGACGAGGCTCCCCAAGAGACCAGCTTCTTGCTACCTTCAAACCAAAGCCGGCAGCACATCTCTCTCCTCAGCATAGAGGGCCCCAGCTTCAGAAAGAGCCATTTGGGTGAATTCTTGAGGCTGGTTCACCCAATGCCTTGCCCTAAGACAGGGTTCCCAGTGTGGAGGTTGGTCTGAACCCCAAGAACCCCATCGATACCTGGGCAGGAGGGCAAGATAGATGACTTAAATTAGGTGCTGGAAATAACAAAAACAAAAATGACACAGTTCCTACACTCAGATAGTTTGCATTCTTCTATTCGCCTTGGTGTAGCAAATAAAGAGCAAACCTTGGAGCCAGGAAGACCTGGGTTTACATACTACCTCTGACACTTACTGGCTGGGTGATCCTGGGCAAATCACTTAACCTCTATGCGCCCTAAGCAACCCTCTTAACATAAAGGGAAGGTGACAATCTGCATAATTAGGAGTTTCTTTGTCTTCTACCAACGAAATCACAGATTTAGTCCCCATTCCAATTTATAGATGGTGAAACTGAGGCTCAGAGCAGTTAACTGGTTTATCTAGAGGTAATTAGGTGACATAGTGGATAGAGCACTAGACCTGAGTTCAGATCCAGCCTCAGACACTTACTAACTGTGTAGCCCTGGGCAAGTCACTTAACCTCTGTCTGCCTCAATTTCTTCGACAGTAAAATGGGGGATGGGAGGTTTCAGAATAGCACCTACCTCCCCACATTATTGGAAAGATTAAATGAGATAATATTTGTAAAGTCTTAGCACAGTGCCAAGCTCATAGTAAGTACTTAATAAAAACTGTTCTCTTCTCTTCTTCATCCATGGTTACACAGCTATCACCTGTTCAGAGCCAGGCTAAAAGCATAGATCTGCTGTGTACAAGTACCTGTGTACCAGTAGCCTGTCCTCTAGACCTCCCGAACTCTGAGGAGTTAGGCTCTTCTGCCGCCCTGCCAAGTCACCTCAACCTAAACTACTCATTGGCCTCCCTCCCCATAGCCCATGCTCGGCACTGCCATTCTGCCAGCGGCAGCATTCTATGCCTTTCCTTCTTTATTCACTCTGCAGATATGCAGCGCGGGATAAGAGTAAGCTGTGCCAGCTGGGCATCACTCACGTCATGAATGTGGCTGCCGGCAGGTTCCATGTTGACACGGGTGCCAAATTCTACCGAGGGTTGCCTGTGGAATATTACGGGATTGAGGCTGATGACAATCCCTTCTTTGACCTCAGCATTTACTTCCTGCCTGCAGCGAGATACATAAGAACTGCTCTCAGCAATCAAGGTGACCCTCCTCCTCTTCCTTCTTTCTCTCCCTCTCTCTTCTTTCTTATCCTCTTCTTTCTCCTCTTCCTCTTTCTTCTTTTCCTCGTCCTCTTCTTCCTACTCTTCCTTCTTTTATTCCTTTTCCTCTTTGATCTCCTCTTCTCCCTGCTCCTCTTCTTATTTCTCTTCCTCCTCTTCCCCCTCTTCCTTTTCTGGTGGTGGTATTATATTTGAGAGAAGGGTAGAAGAGATTGAGGGAGGAACCCAGGAGCCATCTAGGACAAATGGCTCTCAAGATTTGGAGTTAGACACTTCTAGGAGAGCCAGCTGGGCCCATTCTGAGAAGGCCAGGCAAGTGGGTAAAATTCTCAGGGGCTCCAGCCACCTTTCCCTCCCTTTTCCACTCCACCCCAGAAAAGCACAAATACTCAGTAATCTCCTATTTGGGAAGGATTAGAGGGAGGATTATAGACTCAGAGGGGGAAGGGGCCTCAAGGTCATCTGGCCAAATCTCTTCCATGGATAGCTGAAGAAACCACTGCCCAGAGAGCCCTATGACCTGCCCAGTGCCATGCAAGTAGGAACTGGGAACCCAAGTCCTCTGACTCCAAAGCACTATTTTTTTCCATTGCCCCATGCTCCCTCTAGCTCCCTCACTTCTCATTTGAGGAAACTGAGTCTCAGAGTTACTTGCCCCAAAGTCACATAAGTAGGATCATATATTCAGAGCTGACAGAGACCTTAGAGACCATGGAGTCCAACCCCACTCCCCCCCATTTTACAGAGGAAGAAACTGAAGACATTAAGTAACTTACCCAAGGTCATACAGGTAGCGTCAGAAATGGGATTTGAACCCAGATTTTCTGACTCCAAAGCCAGAGCTCTTTCACTATGCCACCCTTGGTAAGTAAACTCCCTTCACCAGTGCAAATCAGGGCCTGTTGTCTATTCATTTATTTATTTATTTTTTTGTTTTTTGTTTTGTTTTGTTTTGTTTTTGTTTGTTTTAGTAAGGCAATTGGGGTTAAGTGACTTGCCCAGAGTCACACAGTTAGGAAGTATTATGTGTCTGAGGCCGGATTTGAACTCAAATCCTCCTGACTCCAGGGGCTGGTGCTCTATCCACTGAGCTACCTAGCTGCCCCAGGGCCTGTTGTCTAACTTACAGTCTGAAAAAGTTGCTTGGGGCACTGAGAAATTAAATGATTTTGCCCAGAGTCTCACAATGGGATGTGTCAGAGACAAGAAGTCTTCCTGACTCTGAGCCTGGAGCTTTACCCATTATACTATGCTCCCTAGTGGGTAATAAAGTATCATTACACCTATTGTTCAGCTCAAGAAACTGAGGCTCCCTCAAGTGAGAAGTGAAAATGACCTTCCCTGGATAGGATTTTTAGCAGGATTTTCTTTTCTCTCCCCCAGATGGATTCATATCACTGAGGTGAAATCTGTATTTAGGAGGTATTTAATCAGGAAATAAGGGATCAAGCATCCCTGCAGGAATTCCACTCTACTCCTCATCTACTCATCCCTGCCCAGTTGGAATAGGTGACAGTGGTGTAGTATCCAGAAGCATTGTCTACAGCCTTCATTAGGGTCACTGAGTGACTGAAAGAAAACTGGTGCTAGCCTGAAAAAGACATAGTATAATTTAACTGGCCCTTATGCCTAGACAGCAATTGGATTTCCTGAGAAGTCTCTGGGGGAAAGCTAGGTCAATAACTGGGGTATCATGTGATGGTCCCTAGAATTGTTATGGAAGGCTAGCGGTCTAGGATTTCTTGGTCCCAGCAGGGCCTTGCCCAACTGGCAAGGCCATCCCTGTAAGGGACAAGGTTGGGAGATGCATACCTTGTACATCTCTCTGCAAAAATCTACACAGGTGACCATCAAGTTATAACAGACATCAAGGGTAACTCTGAAAGAGAGAAGGATTCATTCACAAAAGGGTAACCCAAGGGTAAAAGGAGGGAAGAGCAGTCCACTTTTGTAATGGGATGTGCTATGGACTGATTGTATTTAAATTTCAGGTTTTTGGTGTTGTTTTTTTTTAAATGCCATTTGTCCAGGCCAACTCCTTGAGAAACAGCATGGAGCAGTAGAAAAAGCATTGTATTTAGTATCAGAGGATGTAAACTCAAATCTCACCCCTGACATTTACTGTTTGTGAAACCTCAAATGACTCAGTTAACCTCTCAGGTTAAGTTTCCTCATCTGCAGAGTGAGGGCATTGGTCTAGGTGACTTCTGAGGTGCCTTCTAGCTCTAGATATTAAGTACTGGGGTCAGGACAGTTTGCCAGAGACTATGATATGATGCTCTCTCCCCTTCCCCCAACACTTACCCAATCACTGTCTTGTCGGTGGAGGAGCTTGCATAGCCCAATGAAACTATGAGCTATGCCATTCAGGGTTACCCAAGACACAAGAAGAGATGAGAAAGCTCTCCTAAATGAGCAATGCAAAGAAATAGAAGAAAACAATAGAATGGGAAAGACAAGAGATCTCTTCAAGAAAATTAGAGATATCAAGGGAAAGTTTCATGCAAAAATGGGCATGGTAAAAGACAAAAATGGCAGGGATTTAACAGAAACAGAAGACATTAAGAAGAGGTGGTAAGAACACACAAAAGAATTTTATAAGACCTCATTATCATCACCAATAGCCACAATGGTGTGGTTACTGATCTAGAGCCATGCAACCTGAGAATGAAGTCAAGTGGCCTTAGGAAGCATTACTAACAAATAAGGCTAATGGAGATGTTGGAATTCCAGCTGAGGTATTTAAAACCCTAAAAGATGCTATGGTTAAAGTGCTGCATTCAATATGCCAGCAAATTTGGAAAACAACAGTGGCCATGGGATTGATAAGATCAGTTTACATCCCAATTCTCAAGAAGGGCAATGCCAAGGAATGTTTAAGTTACTGAACAATTGTGCTTATTTCCCATACCAGCAAGGTTATGCTTAAGATTCTGCAAGCTAGGCTTCAGCAATATGTGAACTGAGAATTACCAGAAGAGCAGGCTGGTTTTCAAAGAAGCAGAGGAACTAGAGACCAAATTGCCAACATTCACTGGATTATAGAAAAAGCAAGGGAGTTCCAGAAAAACATCTACTTCTGCTTCATTGAGTACACTAAAACTTTTGACTGTGTGGATCACCACAAAATGTGGCAAGTCCTCAAAGAGATGGGAGTATCAGGTCATCTTACTTTTCTCCTGAGAAATCAATGTGCAGGTCAAGAAGCAAAAGTTAGAACCCAACATAAACAACTAATTGGTTTAAGATAGGGAAAGAAGAATGACAAGGCTGTATATTATCACTTTATTTATTTAACTTATATGCAGAGTACATCATGGGCCAGGCTGGATGAATCAAAAGCTGAACTTAAGGTTGCTGGGAGAAAAATCGACAATCTTAGACACGCAGATGATACCACTCTGATTGCAGAAAGTGAAAAGGAGTTAAGATGAAGGTGAAAGAGGAGAATGTAAAAGTTGGCTTGAAGTTTAACAACAAAAAATCTAAGATCTTTGCCACTGGTACTATCATTTCCTTGCAAACAATAAGAGAAGAAATGGAAGCAGTGTCAGATTTTATATTTTTGGCCTCAAAGATCCCTGCAGATGCGACTGCAGCCATAAAATTAAGACACTTGTTCCTTGGAAGGAAAGCTTTGGCAAATTTGAACAGCACACTAAAAAGCAGAGATATCACCTTTCCAACAAAGGTCCATTTAGTCAAAGCAATGATTTTTCCAGTAGCAATGTATGGCTGAAAGTTGGACTAGAAGGAAAGTTGAGCACTGCAGAATAACACTTTCAAATTGTGGGAGAGGACTTTTGAGAGTTCCTTGGATAGCAAGGAGATCAAATCAGTCAATATTTAAGGGAATTAATTCAAGTTATTCAATGGAAGGTCAAAAACTGAAGCTGAAGCTTAAATACTTTGGCTAGGTAATAAGAAGATGAGATCATTGGAAAAGACCCTGATGTTGGGAAAGATTGAAGGCACAAGGAAAAGGGGGTGGCAGAGGATGAGATGGATAGATGGTGTCATGGAAACAGTGAACCATGAACTTGGACAGACTTTGAGAGATAGAGGATAGAAGGGTCTGAAGTGCCATGGTCTGTGGAGTCATGAAGAGTCAGATACAACTGAATGACTGAATAACAACATGATTTGATCCTGATTCTTTGTCTTCCATCAGATAGGTCCAGATTTTGAGCTAGAAGGGAACCTGGAGGTCATCTTATCCAATTTACCCATTTTGCAGATGAGGAAACTCCCTGGGTCGTATGCAACTGTTTGTGGGAAGACCTTTCCCTCCTCCCTCACCCAAGCCCCCACCTCTGACCTCCGTTGATTTCACAATTCATTCTACTGTGGGGTTAACTCTAGGTCCTGGGGCTGCCCATTCATACCCTGAGAGAATGATGCCTGCCCAGGAACCAGTGAACTCAAGATTGGGGCAGACTTCTACTGCAACTCACTCTAGACAGGATTCTCTTCTCTTTAGCTTCCCACTGCTTGACGTTTGAAGTTCCATGTATCATTTGTATCATTCATAGTCACGCAGTCTAAATCAGTTTCTACTCCTTCCTGTACTCAGGCCCCTGGAGATGATGGGTTGAGCAAGGAGAAAGCTCCCAGCTAGTAGGCACTCACCAGTTCTCTGAGGGCCTGAGCCTTCCCAGGTAGAAGGGCCTGGAGCTTCTCTCAGACTTTCCCCAGTTCCTTAGAAGCCTTGGAAGAAGGAATGTGTCTTTCCTTGGATTCTCTCTAAGAATCCTCTTGGAGTTGGGACATGATGAAGACTCTACTTGCAGTCCCTGACTGATATTTACATTTCAGTGCAAAGCTCCAGTTACTCACCTTAGTTAACATCTTTGCCTCTAATCTCTAAGGGACCTGGATGGGGCCATATCAACTGAACATTCAACTCTATTAGTTTTCCTGGGGTTGTGACTGTGGTTATAACTTGCCTTTTGCCTCTACCTGCAGGCCGCGTATTTGTACACTGTGCCATGGGGGTCAGCCGGTCTGCCACACTTGTCCTGGCATTCCTCATGATCTGTGAAAATATGACCCTGGTGGAGGCCATTCAGACGGTGCAGGCCCACCGAGACATTTGCCCCAACTCGGGTTTCCTCAGGCAGCTCCAGGTCCTGGACAGTCGGCTGGGGCGAGAGACAGGGAGGCTCTGACTGGGCAGGTTGCTGGGATAGAGACCCCTTAGGGGCCTCCCCTTCCCACCTGCCTTGTAGAAGACTGGCAGCCCCCACTATTTACAAATGGACCTGAGATGTAAATATCAAGTTTTGGGGCATCAGGATGGCAGGGGCAAGAAAGGTTGAGAGTTGATGTTTAACAGGTGAATTTGCTCAATTTGTTAAAAAAAAAAAGATTCTTTATGCATTAAAAAGTTGGTCTCAATCTATAATAAAGAATTAATTCATCAGACCAAAAATGGACTTGTTCTTTGTACTCGTAGGGCCCAATCAAACATGTAAGAAAGGTCTTAAACTTCTCCCTTTCTCTTGGCTCCCCATCTCATCTTTACTGTCCTCACCTGAAGCCCTACATAAGACTGGCCAAAATCAACAGATTTTGGACCAGCCTTAGATTTCCAGTGCTTTGTCATCCCATGCATCACCAGATTTGGCCATTTTTCTCTAGTGTAACACCACTTAGCTCCCTCCTTCCTTCTACGTTGCCCTTGCTAAGTTCCTGAGTCATCTATCACTTGGACTCTCATAAACTCCCTGACCCCTGCTACTGCTCTATTTCCCATCTCCTATGCCCTTGCCCCCTAACTATTGTTATGGTTGGCAATCCAAGTTCACAGGGCCATTAACACAAGGACTTGAAGAGGGGTTGGGGCTTGAATTGTTGTGAGAATAGTGTGTGAGAATACATGAACAGAATTGGGATTATCAGATAGGTTTGAGCCATTTTCTAATAAATAGTATTTTCCCTGAAGGAAAAGATTGGGATCTACTCCTTCCTTAGTATATCCTATAGATGTCCAGTGTTCCATGGGCTGTAATTAGGCCCTCAGCTTACTTACTAGTTGGTGCCTTCCTATATTCTGAGAATGCCCAGCATGCTACGGCCCTGACCACTGTTCTAGGAAGCCATATATTGCCATATATGCATATATTGCCATACTCTGGGATTGCCATGTGAATGACTTTTTATTCTGTGTATCCAAAAGGTGGCATGACCCTCTTCTTACTCTGGGTGGCATTACCTATTGTTATTACTGGAAGGTAGGGCAGTGCTGGGGCCTGGACCTGTGATTTCACTGATATAGGGAACTCCCAGGTGAGGAAGCTCCTTTTACCAAAGTAGGCCAACACCTTCTCTGATAATTTATCTTAGTTGCCTAGAGCTGATAAGAGATCGTGTAGGCCCAGGGTTACCCAGCCTGTATGGATGGAACTTAAATTCACCTTCCTTGCTCCAAGGAACCTCTCTATCCTCTATGCCACACTACCTTTCTGTTAATAGGTCAAGTGGTTTTTATCATATAAGACTAGAGTGATAAAATTGTGGAAGATTGCCTTCTTGGGGGGCACCTAAGGGATGAGTCATGGAGGTGAAGTAGAGGAATTGGGCAGGGTTGGCAACCTCAGCTTGCTTCACTTACTGAGGTTATGGAGTATCTCTGTTGTGCAAACGAATAAGCAGAGAATTAGAGGTTCCTTTCAGACTGGAAACTTGAATTTGGAGGGCAGTCCTAAAGGCGGCCACATTTTAAAATCAGAGATGAGAAATGTGTGTTTTAGCCATTAGAGGGAGCTGAGATGATGCAGATGTCCTCTAGGGAAAGATGATGCCCACAGGCCAGGCAGAGGAACTATATCCAGATGTCAGCCTGGAAGGATCCATTCTGAGGGCCAGGAATCATTAGGTACCAATTTCACCAATGCCAGCTCCTTTTCTCTGATGTGGTAAAGGTAATTTTTGGCCCCCCTACCGTGGACTTTTCGTCTCTCCCACCTTCCTACTCACAACTGAACCTCATTTCAAGGCACCAGACCTGGATTTCACTAACTCCTGAGCCAATCTGTTTCTTTGGCATCAGCAATCCTTTGTGCCCAAACACTCACAATTGGCTCCTTTCCCTCCATGATTACCACAGTGCTGAGTCCAGTTCACCACTCACAATGCCCCTTTTCCCTTCTGTATCTCTCTGACAGTTTCCTGGGCAGATGAATTTTTGTATTTGGCACCAGAGGCAGGAGAAGGTGGGGGTGGAGGGGAGGCATAGATCCTGGAATTCCTAATGTAAGAGGCAGGGAAGGAGCTCATCCTTTCAGATCATCTGGTGGCTTACAATCCAATCCAATAAATATTTATTAATAATAATAATAGCCAGTATTTAAATTGTACTTTAAGGTTTGCAAAGCCTTTTACATGTCACCTCATTAGATTGTCATGACAACCTTGGGAAAGAGGTGCTATTACTACCCCCATTTTACAGATGAGGAAGCTCAGGCATAGAGACTGATTAAAAATTTTTTTTGAGCAAAGAAACAAACATTAAGTCTTAACCCTTCCATGCTGCCAAGGGCCTAGGCCAGTTCCAATCCTCCTAAATAGCCCCTAATGATTTCCCCAATAACCCCCTTAATTGATAGGGAGGAAATCGTCCAGTAGGGATGATCATCAGTTCATCATTCTTTAGAGCCAGAAAGAAAATCAGAGGTCATTAAGTCCAATTCCTTTATTTTACAGATACGAAATTCGAGAGAGACTAAATGACTTTCAGGGTCACAAAGCTAGCAAGTGCCTGATGTGGGATTCTGACCGAATAAGATGGCATCCCCCTCCTTCCTACTGAGGGACACATGGCCAGGAGGGAGAAGAGAATGTGGCCAGCATGGGATTACACTTCCAGGCCTCCTTTCACATTCATTAAGACACAGAGACCTAAGTGAGACAAAGGGAAGGGGCCATCTCTGCCCCAGGATGATTCAAAACATCCTGGGCCCGCTCCTCCCCACCCAGGCCTTCCATCACCACATCTGTGGACCACAACTCGCAATTTTCCGAATTCTTCTGACACAGTGTTCCAAGGGACATCTGTTTTCACTCTGGCTGCTTTTTAACACTCCACTATAGGTAACTACAGCTTGTTTTCATTCTGGCTCTTCCTACATCCTACTAACAAAGAGGAGAGTGTAGCAGCAGGATGCTCTGGTTGCCATTTGTGATTTAGTCTTATCGATCTATTTTTAGCCTGGGACTGGTATTCTGGGAGACCCAGGCCCTTCAGCTAGTCCATTCCAATGTTTCCATGACAAACAGGGACTCACCAAGAGCTGTAGACATTTTTTCTTGCAACTTGGGGTCTGGCTTTTGTGGTCCTGGGCTATCAGGAAGAGAATACTTAGGCTAATGTAAGAGAATACTTAGGATAAAGTAATGAACCCTCTCTGGGCTCTTTATATTTCAATCACCACTTTAGACTGCCCTTAGGGCAAAGAGTCAGAGTCTCAAAAGAAGAAGAACCCTGTCAGAAATGCAGACAGAGCCATCTCTGAAAGCCCTCATCACAGAATCAACCCACGACTCCAGATACCTGGTTTGGGCAGGTCGGGAAGAGGACACACGGGTGTGGACACACAGCTTCACCTTTAGCTGTCTCCTTTCTTGTTGGCACACTGAAGAAGAAATGTAGGCACTCATTCTCATGGCAAATACCAGTCAGGAAACATACCACAGTAGCCTTCCAGAGCCTGAGGCTCACCTGGGTCAGATCCAAATTATAAACAACCCAGACTCATCTTCCTGAGTTCAAATCCGGCTTCAGACACTTACTAGCTGTGTGACTCTGGGTAAATTATTTAATCCTGTTTGCCTCAGTTTCCTCACCTGTAAAATAAGCTGGAGACGGAAATGACAAACCACTCCAGTATCTTTGCCAAGAAAGGCCCAAATGGGGTCATGAAGAATTGGACTTGATTGACTAACAGTAACAAAGGTGTAAAAAGCCTGGAAAATTAATAGAGCAAAAACACATGGAGTTCTCAGTTAACATATCAGCTCCTCCAGAAGCAAATTGAATTTGCTATTAGGACAATCCTTGGATATTCTGGTGATATATTTTCCCCCCACAGTCTTATATCGCTCCCCTGGCCCTAAGAATCATAGAACTACCCCATGGTTTATATTCCATGAAGAAGTTAAATTTACCCTGGCAAGTTCTGAACAAGCATAGAAGACAAACTTTATACTCTCCATTTTAAGCCAAAATCTGTCAGACAATATTACATATAAGGATTTCTTTTTATTAAAATATTTTTCAATTAACGAAAATTATTCTCTTTCCTTCTGACTTTCCTCCCATTAAGAAAAACAGAAAACCAAAATTCTTTCAACAAACATTCAGTCAAGAAAAAACAAATTCCTATATTGGCCATGTCCATCTTATAATAAATTTCTTCTTGGAGAGAAGTTCAGGTTAACTGAGCTCTCTCGGCTAATCAAAATTCTCTGGACCTAAGCAGTTTCCAATCAACATTTTAGAATAATTGTGAAACAAAGACAAATTTCTATAGCAAAGTTTGGGGGTTTTGTTTTATTTAAATAGAACAACAGTGATGTTAACGAAAAGCCTAGGAGAAACTATCTTCCTGAAACCAATTACTACCTGTTTAACTATTGCACTTTGGATATGAATAGGCTATTTTCCAAAGAAGAAATATAAACTATCAATAACCATATGAAAAAAATGTTTCAAGTCACTAATAATTAAAGAAAATGCAAATTAAAATAATCCTGAGCTTCAGTCTCATATTCCTCGGATTTGAAAAAAATGGCAAAAAAAAAAAGGAAAATGAGAAGTATTGGAGGTGGTGAGAGATAACAGGCACATTGGAGCCCTACTGGTGGAGCTGTGAATTGGTCCAGCCATTCAGGAAAGCAATTTGAAACTGTGCCCCAAACATTACTAAACTATGCATCCCCCTTGATTCAGCAATTACACTATTAAGCTATATCCCCAAGAGATTTAAAAAAAAAAAAGAGGAAAAGGACCTAGAGAGTACAAAAACATTTTGGCAGTTTTTTCTGTGGTGGCAAAGAATCAGAAACTAAGGGAGTGAGTGTCCACCAATTGGAGAAAAGGTAAACAAATTATGGTATATGGATATAATGGACTGTTATTGTACTGTAAGAAATGATGAAAGGTACCATT